AAAAAAAAAGCATTGATTTTCCCCTCAGTGAAAGTTTCTTCTTTATGCTTTTCTTTATTTGCTCATTTCTTTTGTAATAAGCATGTATCCATTTTATAATTTAAAAAAATAAGGGTTTTTTTAATCCCTTTTATTCAGTTTTGTTTTTTTTTTAGTTTTTTAATTTGTTGTTGTTTTTTTTAATCACTGCTAAGCTTACAGGGTTACTCCTGCACTTGACATTTAAGGCAGGTTTACATTAGCAGAATGCAGGGAGGTCCCCCGGCACCCAAGCTGGAGACCTGGGCTTTCATATCACCTGTCATTTGCCCTGAACAAATCTCACCTTCCTAAACTACTCTTCCACTGTAAAAAGTCTTTGTAAACTGTAAAGCTCTGATCCAACTGAATTATTATATCATTGTTTACTGCTTATCATAATATTGCTATCATTTAAGACCCCAGGTTGTTAACCCCAGCATTTTCAGTTCATTTAAAATGAAATAATCTCTAGACCCTTGGAACTTAAAGTGTGGTCCCTAGGCCAGTACCAGCAGCTTTGGCATCACCTGGGGCTTGTTAGCAATGCAGGACTGCAGGCTCGCCCCACTTACTGAATTAGAGCCTGCATTTTAACAAGATCTGCAGCTGACTCATAGGCTGGGCGAAGCTGGAGAAGCCCTGGTGGAGGTACGCCGGCCGAGTTTCTCAGCAGTGCTGAAAGCGGGAAGCCGTCAGCAGTACCAGCCGTCACCAGCACTGACACCCAGGATGCCATTAGGAAAAGAGGCAAGTGATCTTGATTATGTCAATTTCACAGTCACATTCAACAACGCTGGTGTTAGTTAAAAAGCCAACAATGAGCAGAACCCAGCCAGGCCCCGGCTGCAGGACATTACCCTGGAGTCAGAAGACAGCCTCGTGGCCACTTGGTCTGGCTGGTTCTGGGCAGCTCCATCTCCATAATGACCATTTAAGTAACTAAATTTAAAAAAAAAAAGAATGAACAAAAAGAAAGCAGTTTGAATTTTAAAATCAGTCCTTGAGCTACCTGGGAGCTCCACTATTTGGAATCCTATGGCTTCATTCTGGAAAAGTGTCACTGGGAATTTAATTTAGCACCCCTGGGACGGTGGGAGCGAGCAACCTAAGGCAGAGAGTGCCGTGGGCCTCGTGTGGCCACTCGACCTTCCCCTCTCCCCCGCGTCCCCCAGTCCCAGCCCTCCTGCCCCTCAGATCTCTGGCAGAGGCTGACCGGACCCTCTGGCTGCCGCAGGGCAGGTGAGGAGCCAGGCTCGCAGGCTTTGTAACTCATGGTCCAAGACTGCTTTTCCTGTGGGAGCCCCGTGTCCTCCCTAGAGGCTGCATGAGGAAGGGGCCTCTTACTATGTCCTGTGCCTGCTGGAGCTGCGGGATGAGGACTCACATCTGCAGGGGAAGCTCACAGAGCTCCTCGTTGGGGCCCTCTTGCGGTCCTCCCTGGGCCGTTCCTGTTGCCTCACTCCCACCTGAGCCTTGAGGCCCAGGAGGGTGGCCAGGGTGCTCCTTGGGAATCTGAGGGAGCCACACAAAAGGACTTAAATTAGTGCCACAGTCCCACCAGAGGTGACTCAAAATCAGTTCAGCATCCCTACAGCACCCCTAAGGCACATAACATCCTGCCTGGCATCCCACCCCTGTCTCCCCCAGCTCCTTACCTAGCTGCCTCCTCATCCTCCAAGACTCAGTTCAAATCTCACCTTCTCTGAAAAACCTTCTCCCTTAGTAACTCAAATCTTCTGCATTTAATTGCTTTTGGTCATATCCCATTACTTAATAGTCATGATAGCTCACACCCAGGAGGAATGTGCTTACTGTGAGCCAGGCCCTGTTTTCAGTACACCCCTTATATTAACTCATTTAGACATCGTAACAGCCCTGTGAGGCAAGTATTATTATCCCCATTTTATAGAAGAGAGAACTGAGGCACAGGGACATTGCAAAACTTTAAGATCACAAAGCTAATAAGTGACACAGCCAGTACATGAACCCAGGTAGTCCGGCTTCAGGGTCATGTGGAATGTATTATTATTTTCTGCACTGTACTTTTAACATTTCATAATTATACATTAATTTGTTAAATATATGTGTCTGTCACAGAAATGTGAGCATCTTGAGGGCAGGTGATTTGCCTGTGTTGTTCATGTTGTATCCCCAATACCTAGGAAAGTGCTGGCATGTAGCAATACATACTGCTTAGTGAATGAAGAATGCCAGCAGTAGACTCTTTCCAGGACCACTTATCACAGAGTTATGTAGAGAGTTCTCATCATTTCACAACAGTGGCTGTAAACTCGGGACCTAGTAAAGAAGGGCAGATCGAGACCCCAGGGAGCCACTAGGTGGAGGGCAGTACCCACCCTGAGGTGGCCTCACAAGGACTCGCCACTCCTGCAAGTCCAAGACTAGCAGGGCAGCCACTGTGAGCTTGGAGACTGCTTGGATGCCTTGAGATGGGCTGTTACATCCACAGTGGCTCAGGGCTTCCTCTATGAACCACTGACTCTCCTGGGCATTCAGGTGAACATTCAGGATTTAAAGATGAGACAAATGAGACCCAGTGCTGCGGGGACACAGAGGCAGGCACCAAGAATTCCTCCAGGTGCAGGGGATGGGGGAGCTTGGGGTAAGGAGGATGGCTGGGCACTAGGGGTGCATAAGTGACCTGACACTAGAGCTGGGTCTTGAATGAGTGAGGTTTTGCCAGGCAGGTAAGTGTTTTGAGGAGGCAAACTCTTCTTTGGAAGGGCTAACATTGACATAATCTTTATCACTTTTTCCTTCACTCTGACAAAATCCTCATTCAAGTTTGAATATCAGCCACAGGTTGTGGCTTCAAATACTGGATGAAACTAAAGAGTCAAATTAAGGTATATAGTTAAGGTATCTTTATCTTTAAATATGACTCCCTTTCTCAGGATTTTAATTTTAGTCTGAATGTTCTGATAGTTGAGGCTACAAAAGCAAAAAGTATAGAAAGACAGTGGTGGTTGATTTGAATTCCCAATCTTGCATATTTAGAAATCCAAAAGAATTTTACTTGAGAGAAGGAAAATGCAGAAGTGGATTCATGTGAAATAATTATTTCACTGAGGGTGCTATTCTTTATTTAGAAGAGGGAGCACAAGCTGGGTGCGGTGGCTCACGCCTGTAATCCCAGCACTTTGGGAGGCTTAGGTGGGTGGATCACTTGAGGTCAGAAGTTCAAGGCCAGCCTGGCTAACATGGTGAAACCCCGTCTCTACCAAAAATATAAAAAATTAGCCAGGCAGTGGTAGCGTGCACCTGTAATAGCAGCTACTCAGGAGGCTGAGGCAGGAGAATCCCTTGAGCCCAGGAGGTGGAGATTTCAGTGAGCTGAGATTGTGCCACCGCACTCCAGCTTGGGTGAGTACAAAACTATGAAGAAAAGAAATTATTTTTTCCAGGAATGATCCGCAAAAACTTTCTTATTCATTTGGAAGAAATAGCTCTTTTGTGGTTTAATGGATTTAAACAGCATTGTTACATCCTAAACTATAAAGATGTTTTAAAAATTAACACTTGAAGTAGCTTCTAATCTTTAAAAGCTGGTTCCATTTAAAATAATATAATTCATGGGACTTTGGAAATTTAAATTTTCATGAGATATTAAAATGAAATTCAGTGAATCCATGAATTAGGAGTCTATAAATACATAAACATTTTTCCTGGCACAAAATTAGGCTGTACATTGCTGTATTACCTCATTTGAGAGTGAAGAGGAGGTGGAGCCCAAGTCATCCGGGGTCAATGGAAAACTCACAGGAAGAGGAGGAGCTGAAGTATATTTGCTTTCATCCATTTTCTCTTTAACATCTTCAAGCAGCATCTCTAACTTGAAGATTTCACCTTCCATTTTTCTAAGTAAACGTAAACACACAGGCATCTTCTGGGTTATGATTAATAGCAACAGTTTTTGAATACAGAATTGATTTATATTATTAGTGTGGCCTGCCTTCTGACATGAAGGATAATGGGCACCTGCATGACTGTTCATAGCTTCTCTGACAGCCTGGGCTGTGATCTTCGCCTGCTGTCCATTAGCTGTGTATCCTTGAGTAAATCACGTGGTATTTCTGAGCCTCCAATGTCTCACTTATAACCTGGGATAGTAATACTGTACCTTGCTTATCCAGATTTGATGATTTTGAGATCCTTTACAAGGGATTCTAAGAACTGGGATTCTATGGAAATACTTGTTATGCTAATTTAAAAAGAGGAAGAATATAAGATAGCTGAATAATTAACGAGTTCTAATCTATATGAACATATGTGTATGTGTAATAAATATATATTTTACCCAACAAAGAGAATCCATTTTCTTCAAATCATTACATTTATAAAAATGTACTGTGTATTATTCCACAAAGGAAAATTTTAAGAAAATCCAAAATATTAAAAATTATATTATCTACATTCTCTTGTCACTAGAAATTAACAAGAAAAAGCCCACCCAAAAAAGCCCTATTTAATTAGAAATTTTATACCTAGCTTTGTATTAAGTAGAAAATAAAAATGAATATTAAGGATAACTTACAAGTCGATGGCAAATGAGTGAATAATGTATGAAAACCAATGTAATGCAGTTAAAGCAGTACGCTGAGGAAAACTTATAGTCTTAAAATGCATTAGTAGGGGAAAAAATCAATAAACTATTCAAAACAAGAAGATAGAATGGGGAGTATAAAATAAACCTCAGAAAAGAAAAGTATTCATAAAATTACTAGAAATAAATAAGACATAAGAATTTGATTAGCAAGATAAAACATGTTTTTTTCCAAAATATCTATAAAACAAACCACTGGACATCTGACTGAGAAATAAATAACATTAAGACTCAGAAAGGAAAAATTTTAAATCAAAAGGCGTTGAAAACTTCATATCAACACCATTTAAAATTTAGGTGAATTGGGCAAGTTTCTAGGAAAACATAAATTATTAAAATTCACTTTAAAACGTAGAAAATATCAAAAGACTAATAACCAGAGAAAAATGGAAATTGTCAAAAAATCTCCCCAAAAGACATGAAGAATGAGATAATGGGTGAGTTCTACCAAGCCTTCTAAAAATTTATCAGTGTCTCCAATACATTAATTCTTATGTATTATGTAGTTTAAGATGTAATTTATTACAGTTTGAAAGTATATATTTCAACATATATTTTTAAAGGAGAGAGTTAAATCAAGTATATGCAGACCCCTGAAGCACTTGTATAGACACTTAAGAGTTCACTAAACATAATTCTACCAAGATTTTTAAGTAATAGATACATCCTTTGTTATTAGACTCTTCCAGAAAATGAAAAGGGAAGATTGCCCAATTCATTCTGTGGTTCAACATCAGGATATTTATTAATATATTCCACTACATTAATAGATTAAAGGAGAAAAACTAGATTTCTAAATTCCATTTGATTAAACATTTTCTTAAATTAAATAACAACAAAAGTCCTAATTCTAGAAAGCTAGGAATAGAAGATAATGCTCTTGATGAAGCTTACTACTTGAATCATACTTGGGAGAATTCTCATTATTTTTAGTAGCATAAGAATGCTGTCTTTCATGGCTCATGCCGGTAATACTAACATTTTGGGAGGCCAAGGCGTGGGAGGATCACTTGAGCCCAGGAGTTCGAGACTAGCCTGAACAACAGAGGGAGACCATCTCTACAGTTTTTTTTTTTTTATTAGCTGGGCATGGTGGCGTGCACCTGTAGTCTCTGCTACTTAGAAAGCTGAGGTGGGAGGATCCCAGAATCCAGGAGTTTGAGTTGCAGTGAGCTATGATTGTGCCACTGCATTCTAGCCTGGACAAGAGTGAGCCTTTGTCTGAAATTTTTTTTAAATGCTGTCTTTCACTAGTATTAATTATCCAATATTGTTCTGGAAAATCTAGCAAATGAAATAAAGAGAAAAAAAATGAGATACTTAAGAATTGGAGAGAAAAGAAATAAAGCACAATAAAAATATTCTAGAGTAAGAAGCTTATTAATATTTTTAGATACTATGGATTGTCATACCTAAAAATGAAGACAATCAACTAAAAATGAACAAAACACTAAGAACAGAATTGCATAAGGTAGCCCAGTACAAGTTAAATATATAATATATAAATATTTCCTATAATATAAATTAGATAAAACATCTGCCAACAATACTCAGAAAAAACACAAAATAGCTAGTAGTAAACTTAACAAAATATGTGTAAAATCTGCATGAAGAAAACATGCTCCTAGATGAGAATACTCACTGCAAAGATTTCAGTTCTTCCCAATTTAACCTACAAATTCAATACAATCCTAAGCAAAATCCTCATGAAATTTTATTAAGAAACTTGATGAGCTGATTGTAAAGTTTATTAGTAAGAGGAATGTGTAAGAATGGCTAAAAGAAAATTTTAAAAAGAAGAAACATTTCTAAATATACACTAACCTATAATAATTCTAAACTGTGGATAATGTAGAAATATAAACATAGATCAATGGATGGACTAGAAACAGTTCTATACACACGTGGAGGTTTTGTATCTGATATAAAGGGCTTTTTCAATTGGTGGGGAAAGGCTGCCCTTTTCAATAAGTGGTGGGACAAAGATCTAAGCATGAAAAAAAAAGTGATAATTGACTAAAATATAGAAAAATATATTGTGATCTTGCTGGCAGAGGAGAATGAAGCAGGGGACAAGGAGAGACTGAAAGTTTAAAAGGGGGTGGGAGCAGTGGCTCACATCTGTAATCCCAGCACTTTGGGAAGCTGAAGCAGGCAGTTCACAAGGTCAGGAGTTCAAGACCAGCATGGCCAACATGGTGAAACCCTGTCTCCACTAAAAATAGAAAAATTAGCTGGGTGTGGTGGTGCGAGCCTGTAGTCCCAGCTACTTGGGAGGCTGAGGCAGGAGGATCACTTGAACCCAGGAGGTGGTGGTTGCAGAGAGCCAAGATAGTGCCACTGCACTCCAGCTTGGGTAACAGAGTGAGACTCCGTCTCAAAAACAGAAAGAAAGAAAGAAAGTTTAAAAGAAATAAGGCTTGGGAAGTGGCTCATACCTGTAATCCCAGGACTTTGGAAAGCCAACGTAGGCAGATTACTTGGGGCCAGGAGTTCAAGACCAGCCTGGCCAACCTGGTGAAACCCTGTTTTCTACTAAAAATACAAAAAAATTAGTCAGGCATGGTGGCATGTGCCTTTAACCCCAGCGACTCTGGAGACTGAGGCAGGAGAATCACTTGAACTCAGGAGGTGGAGGTTGCAGTGAGCCGAGATCGTGCCACTGCACTCCAGCCTGGGCAATGGAGCAAGACTCCATCTCAAATAATAACAATAATAATAATAATAATAATAATATACAGCAAGTTGGTGCTAACCAAGAAAAAAATAGAAATAATAATAAAATAAATGAAATGATGGAGCAAGACCTCAAGGTAGTGGAAAGAGATGGGTTCAAGGACCATGGCTAGAGAGGTTAGAGGGCAAATTAAGGAAGGGAGAGGAGGTGACAACATGGGGATTTGGAGATGGAGGAGACATTTTTGAGGAAGCTGTGATCTTTTCTATCAAGCAGAAGATAAGATTTTATGCTGAAACTCTCAGGGAGAAGTGGTTGATGAAGGTAGAACCCCATTTCTTGAATTCTTTGCTTCTGCTATTACTTTGTGAAAGAATCAAGTTAGTATTGAACTACATTCTGATAAGCAAGATGCATGAAACCCAAGCAAATATTTCTACGTATTACCTTGTAAAGGTAATACTGAGAAGGCTTTAACGAGAGCACAGCAGGTGATGTAAACAAGGGACTAGTCAATGAATTTGCAGAATTCTTGCCCCTCCAGAAAGCCATCTGCATTGGCCTTTGGACTCAACACTCAGAAGGTTCTCAACATACCAAGAGCCCAAGGATTGTATAGGATTCTGTTCCTTGTCACGTTATGCCCATTTGAGAACAAGTGAACCAATCCGGAGCTGATCAGTCTTTGCCTGTCCCAAGGTGGCTTTAGCTGAGATTTGGGGAAGGCCGGGTCCCTCCCTCACCCCTGTGTTGAAAGCTTCTCCCGTATATGGAATGTAATTGCAGTTGAAGCTCTTTTTATTTATACTTGTGTCAGGCACCTTGTGGTTGTAACTAGGATATAAATAAGACATTGAATAACTTTGGTCTTAATGTGCGCAGAAGCCTGTCTTTAAAACGACTGCCCAAACAGGACATTTCTTGGAAAATAAATACCCTTACTCTATTGATTTTAAATAGTGGAAGTATGTGGAGTTCTTTCTACCCCTAGCCCCCAAGAAAAGCCTTTAGGAAAAATCAATACTAAAACCCCATGCTTGCTGTCTAATTACTCAGTATTGAAATAAAGGTAAACAGAGGTTTCATTCGTTTTGAAAAAAGTAAAACCATACCTTGGGGAAAAAAATACCACAGAATGCTAGGACTGAAATGTAAACCATTAAAAATTTTGGCAACAACAATTCCATTTTAAAATGCTATGAAGGCCGGGCGCGGTGGCTCAAGCCTGTAATCCCAGCACTTTGGGAGGCC